GATAGTCATCACCACCCACCGCCAACTCATGGACTACTCTTTTACCAACGAATAGTGGGATTAACCGTCACATTGTAACGCCCCCACGGCTGAATAGGTGAGCATGTTTGGTGTAACGGGGATTCGAATCCGCGACCCACAGATTACGAGTCGAGCACCCTAACCACCTGACCATGCCGGGCCGGATATAAAAGGGCAATATAGCTGAACTGCTTCGAAAATGTAAGCGATCAAATTATAATTTGACATTTTATGCATATTTTTGGCTTAAGATTGTTTACGTCAAGTTATGAATAGGTATGTAAAAATGACAAATGATCTGACAAAGAAAAATAAAAGTTGCTATCACTAGTGTTATATACAAATGACTTACTCTTGCCGATTGCGTTCACTTTCATCTTAATCTTAACGCTCGCAAATAAAACGCTATATTGTTTGGCACCAACAAGATTTTTATAGTTTTTTAATAGGGTGACTCTGGAGGTCCACTGATGATGACTGGTTCAGACAAAAACTTCTACCTTGTTGGGATAGTGTCATTCGGAGATGCAAAATGTGATGCTCCAGGATTTCCAGCTGTATACACACGAGTGCTTTCATTTTTAAACTGGATTGCATTGAATCTTGTGTAGGCGATGCTCCAGGATTTCCAGCTGTATACAGACGAATGACTTCATATTTAAACTGGATTACATTGGATCTTGTTTAGGTTCTGCGTTTTAGGACTTTGGCCATACAATATTTTAGAATGAATACTGTTGACTACAGTATAATCCTAATAAATAACGTTATTAGAACTATATTGCTGTTTAGTCTATGTGTATTACAAAAAGTACTATGTTTTCTTTAAACCTAATAATCTTAGCACAATAAAAACGTCATAAATAGTGTATTTAATCAATAACAGTGAGCTGTATTCGTCACATTCTCCCAACTGTCAATTCTCTTTTGGTACAAAACACTGAGCAGCACCATCGATGACTACTAGACAAAACTCTAAAATTACAAATTTGAAATTTGTACCAGTGTACTTATCTCATCCTATGCTCTTGGCTTCGAAGTTACAACGCTAAAATCAGGGGTTCGATTCCCCTCGAAGGACACAGCAGATATCCCGATGTGGCTGTAAGGAAACACACACACACTACTATCCTCTTTATTCCAAAAGAACCAATGAAATAAAAATCTAACGGATCAATATTCAACACAATCAAAATTAAGGCAAAAAAACATATTCATGAAATATTCTATACCAGAGAGTGAACGTATAAACAAAACAACTAGACTAGAAATGTGGACACTATGGATAGGTTTTAGCATATGTTTCTTTATTCACTGAAATGATTCCTCATTCACAAAATGGGCCAAATGATCAGGTCAGAGATGTCTATGTAAAAGGAAGAGCAGTCCCTAATTTTGAACTATAGACCAGAGAGAAAACAACCAGTCGTTAGCACTCGCCACCATAGCCACTCTTAGCCAAATAGCGGGATTTTACTGTCGTTCGTAAAACACATATAGGTAAGGGGATGAAGCTTGTTTTGGTAGTACCACGTTTAGAACTCAAAACCCTTAATTGGATCCCTAGATCGATAAATTTACCACCAGGAAACGCTCAAGCCTTTTAGAATATAAGTTCTAGCATGTTGCAAAAATTGAAATTAACGATAAAAATCACACTAAATAAAATTATTATGAAGGATTAGGAAACACAGCACAGACTATATAAATGAGCCCCACAATATAACAGTGCATCCAGAGCCTTGTACAGTGGAGACTATAAAGGTTTCGTCCATGACTTCATCAGGTTGTCCCCACACTCTAACCACACCATCATAAAAGTACAATATGAATCGAGATAATATGACCACATTACGTATTTGCTATTGGTTAATGGCTAGACTGTAACTTAATCAATTTTTTATTATTATTAATAGAGATAAATGATTTAGTAAGTGTTTTGTAGTAAATTAAGTTGCATTTCAAAGTTAATTTCACGCAATTGTCAACGAATTTTTTGGCAAAAATGTTTCTTTTTTTTAATAATTATTTAAGTTATTTGCCAATTCACACACAGGTAAACGTCCGCTAGCCCGAACAATTCAATATATATATATATATATATATAAACCAGTCGTATGTCGATAATGTTCCATTTCTTTTTTTGTCTTAATGTCTTAAGTATGCATAGAATACTTCGAACGTTCACTCAGGCTAGTTTGAAATACACTTTCGTATTATGCAGTAATAAATGAAATGCTGGAAAAATTATTTAATTTTCTCTAGAACACTTTGTAACATAAGAAATAATATGTAAGCGTTCTCGATATAGTCATAATATGGAGAATAAACTGAAAAGCAAATAACTAAATAAGAGTTTGATATGATTTTCATGCATTTATATGGGTCATTAGCTCTGGTGTGTTACTACTCATTTTGCACTAATTAAATCTAATATATATATACCATTTTGTGTGTGTGTAACGCTCATACTATGAGTAGTTCTTAACTTAAGTTGCACCATTCTTATTGGTTTTTCGATAGTGTACTTAAAAAATGTTTTTACTTTCTCAATATATCATTGTTTTCCTTTTATGACGAAGGGGAAGCTTGGTGAACTAAACTCACTGGAAGAAGGGCGGGAGCCGCCGTTTTTTTTTTATATTTGCTTCTTATCCCTGTTGCCCCCCAGTGGCACAGCGGAATGTCTGAGGACTTACAACGCTAGAAACCGGGTTTTGATACTCGCGGTGGGCAGAGCAGAGAAAGCTCATTGGGTAGCTTTGTGTATAATTACAAACAAATAAACTATCCCTATTTGATAGCTCTCTCTTTTAACCACAGTATTCCTCAATAGACGAAGCTTTTTGATTTGATAGTCATGAACTATAGGATCGGGACGTATTGGCATTTGATTTTTAAGTCACCTCAACCATTTTGGTAATTAAGGCACCAGCCAATCAAATCTCAACATTAACACCTTTTTCAAAGCTTCATAAATCTTTCGACATTTCTTTCAAAGAAACACGTGATGCTAAAACAAATTAACTTTATAGGGCCATGTGGTTTTATTTCTCTAGTTTATAAATACGAAGTGAAGGTCACTGTATTTGTAGGTAAGAGTTTCTAATATTTGGTTATCTGCAAAACATGAAATAAAAAACTAAATCTGTATATTAATATCTTTATCACTAATATTAAGCACGTGGTTTCATTGCTTCACTGATTTTTGATTTTTAAATCCGTTAGATTAATTGTTTTTACTCAACACAAAGTAAAATTTTGGATAGATGTTTGTCTGTCATCATGTCCAGCTCAGTATTGGACGAAAAACCTCCTAGGCAGAGGAGTGAGAAAGACAAAAATAGATTTGAAACGCTATTTTTACAAGTATTTGATTTTAAATCCACAACGGACTAAAGTAGAAGAACGTGGATAAACCATGTTTATTCTAGTATGATGTTTATTACTAGTTTAGGCCTATCGCTTCGTGATTTTCAAAATAGTTTAGGCCTATCGCTTCGTAATTTTCAACATAGTTTAGGCCTATCGCTTCGTGATTTTCAACATTTAAAGCAGGAGCGTTAGGTTTATAATTTTAAAATATCATATGAATTTGATTTTGTTTTGATTATAGAATATTACAATATTCATTAATTTAAATCTGAATAAATTCTGATAAATTATAAAATTGTAGTATTTGATATGAAGCCGAACTCCTTTCCTTATCAGAGTACGGTAGGCTACTTTAAAAGTAAAATATCAATAAATAAACCGGAACGTGAAAGTCATCAGTTTAGTTTCAGAAAACTTTGCCTCTGTCAATTTATGAAAAAAAGGGGAGAAATAATAATGCACATGTAGCTAAAGAAATTTCATTCTTGGAGATAAAACGTATTAAGTCAACGACGGCAAACTTTTGCCTATATTGCAAATCATATTCTGTGAAATACCTCAAGATGTGACGACCATTAGAGTTACTAGAAATCTACAGTAACGAATAACTATAAGTAGTCTTAAGGATGACTAACGGGCTAACTACAAAATGTTTTTATGATCACCCTGCTCTACGTTGTTAGCGGTGTTTACGGTAGTTCCACGGTCGTAATATAAATTTAATACTTATATAAAGATTGCAGATAAGTTTACGAGCTAATGCCAAACAAATTACTGGTATTCCTTTGAAAGTGATATCACAATTAATCCTAAAAGGGAAGAGAGAGATTTCAAATTTTTTTGATGAATTTCTAGTCAAATCAAAATCAAGTTTCAATAGAACCATAATTTGAAAGATTTTTAATAAAGCGTTTAACTCATCAGAACTGATAAGACAAAGTATGTATATTAATACGGCCCCTACAATGTTTCATTCAATTAAGTAAATACAGTTGCATTTTCGACTAATTAAGCAAATACTGATATGAATGACTGTAAAAAACTTTGCAGCACAATATCACTGTAATTACTGCGCTTTTCGTAAATCAAATGTTTATCTAACCACATGTGCCCTTTGTAATAGTTCTGCTGATAAATGGGAAGCCTAAGTGTGCTTCTTCTAGGATTTGTATAATAAACGTTTGTCGATTTTCAAGCGTCATGCAAAATGTACAATGAAATAATATTTTGTCCTGCTGGTTAACATCAGCCCACCTGAAGAGTATGATGTTTTGTTATTTAAACAAAGTTTCGGACGAAGCATGAAAGTACCAACTTATATGAATATTGAACAACGGAAAATGAAATAAGAGTGCCAGTCTCTCCTCTGTACATTTGTCTGTGTCGCATATTAAGGTCCATATTGCAATAAAAGTATAAACTGATGTAACAGTAATAAACAAAAGTTAGGTTGTTAGGTGTTTGTTTGTTTGTAATTAAGCATAAAGCTAAACAATGAGCTATCTGTGCTCTGCCTACCACGGTTATCGAAACCCGTTTTCTAGCGTTGTAAGTCCGCAGACATACCGCTATGCCACTGGGGGCAATTTTAGAGAGTAATTTTACTAGGGGCTAATATATATATATATTGTGCTTTCGTTAGTTTCAACAGAAATACAACTAAACTGTTGCTCGTCGATTACTTTTTGTCAAGTTTTTATCACTATTTTTGTTTTTACATTTATGTCTAACGTATGTTCACTATCGAGTGTCAGAAGTTTTATAGTGGTTACAATACTTGTGATTTTAAGGATTCCAAATGGAGGTAAAATCCACGATTCGCTAGAGACCCAACAATGTTTGTTTGATACTGCTTCAAGTTCTCACTGATGTGATGGTGTATTCTAAAGCCTAGTATCATATAGGAGCTTGTTTACTATTAAATAAAGAAATATATCAAAATAAATAATACGGTGAATAACCGTCAAGTTTTTATATTTTTATTTAAAGAAAGAGACCTTTGTTGTAAGCTGTACGATCTGACGAAGACCGTCATCCTTCTTTAAGTAAAAAAATAACAAACTTGACGATTGTTCACCCTATTGTTTATTTCGTTTAATATTAAAGATCGGTCAGTAATTACTGTATTTGTGACACTAAGCTGAAGTGTAAAGTTGTGTAAAAGAGTTTCTGTACCTCGAAATGTGAAGGGTTTTGTCTTGAACGTATTTATGTAGATAACATCAAAACTTTGATTCTCTTGTTCCAACTACTTCTAGACAAGTAAACAAACAAAATATGTGTGTTTACGTATGACATATTAACTTTATAATGCCTTTTGACATTTCAAACCAGATGTGTATGTTGCTTCATCGATAATAACTTCAAACTGTCCTTAACCTATGTTTCTACGAGTTGTGCAGAAAAGAAGGGATGTTAAGGTTCAAATTATGGTCTGTAAATAAAGTTACAAATAAACATAAAGTAGGAATTTAAACTTATTAACGAAACATGTGTTAAAATAAGTGGCA